TGGGAGCGGACGAGCACCGCGCCGAACAGTCTTAGAAGCCGGCCGAAACAACTTAAGTGCTCTATAGGTGTCTCTGTACTGTTGGTGCATCATGGCACTATGACATTTCTCCGCAACCCTTTGGATGGACTCAACCTTGTCATGTTTCACAGCACACCACACTTCATAACAAGAACGTGAGTAGTTAAGAACCTGTGAGGCTTGTTGCTTGCGCTCACTCATCAACATGTCATTGAATCTCTAAACGTCGCCCCACCGACAACGCCATGCTGCAAAGGCCCTAGCAATAACGAGCCACATTTGGCTTTTGTCACGCTGCGCAAGTTGCGCCTTCAAGTGCCCCCGAGCTTTGAGGAGACTCCGCGTGCCAGCGGAGATGAAGGGTTTGATGGGCCTTCTTTTGCGCCTCGCGAAAACCCTGCAACTGAGCATGTTGTAAATACTTGGTAACGATGTCGGCACGCTTGTCAACATTGCATTCCCACGGAATCTGAGGGCACGCGTCCATGACAGAATCAAGAATTTGCACATTGCCAATCTCCCAAAGCACAGGAGCTAACCGCGCCGGCAAACGCGACCAAAAGGCATCCGACAATCAAGGACTGCAGGAAAATGGTCAGGCGACTTCTGGCCGATGTCCACCGTGTATTCAACCCAAAACTGAACGACGAACTCAAAACCCCAACCAACAAGAACAGCAACAAAGTCGTTGCGGTGCAAGCTATGGTCCCTGACAGCAATGAAAGTGTGCGTTTCTCCAACATGACACTGAGCAAAGGTAGATGGCATCCACAAGGCACGCTTGCACAGCAAATCGCGCAGCCCTGAACCGTTGACATCAAACTCCTCAGCTGCCAAGTCCCCAATGTGAGCGCTGTCATGACCACCTACTCTGGCATTGGCATCAGACAGGAGCACAAGCGGAAGATCTTGGCTTGCAAATTTTGCCAGCAGGTGATCGGTCTCACCCCGCCAGAGTGTGCATTCACTCTCGCCTCTGCCTCGGTGCGGCGCATGACAAACACACAAATCAAGCCTGACGCAATCGGAGATGCAACGCACTATCAAACGCCTGGGGTCGGCACGCAGCACAGTCAAGTGTCGCAGTTGAATGGGTTCGGTTGGGAATGGCTGGGGCCACGTTCTTGAGATTTACAAAGCGACCCCTAAATTCCCGTGATCGGACCCAGTGCCAGATTGGATGGTACCGCGCAAACGCGTTTCTTGCAGGCCCACAAAAGTCCACCCCTGCGCGGCAGAGACATCTTGCATGAGGCTAACCTTCGCCCCACCATACCTTTTCTCATCTGGATCAAATGATTCAGCATCGAGAGCCGTCTGCACATTACATTAAGCGTGGCCATGGTCCTGCCGCTGGATGTCGACACAACGCGGATCAAGACCAACTTTGGTGACACCAAGCTGAAGGCTACCCTCATCAGGATCGTCTGGTTTGGAAACAACTCTGGATATCAACATTTCAGCCGGAGGGAGCCCATCTGCATGACGAGGAGCCAGCGCCCACGCCCAGGGCAGGTGCTCACTGAACGAGAATTCAAGGCAAGCAGCCGGCGTGGGCATAATGCAAGATCCCAACGCTGCTGCTTAGCACACGCGTCAGCCGCGTCAGCCAGCTCATTTCCGCAGCACCCGTTGTGCGCTTTGGTATGACACAAATCAATCAAACACAGCCTATCAGCCAACACCATCAAATGTCGGAGATGGAGACACCACTCTGAAGCACCGGTTGACCCCTGCGAAGGTTGCCACTCTCCTCCTGCAGACTTGCCGGCGCGCATGGAATCGTAGCGCACTATAAGTGCCTAACTTTCAAAGGGCACGCCATGCCCCGCACGATAGCATAGGCTAGTGCTTGACACTCCGCAACGCAAGCAGCATCACGCTCATCCTGACCTTCAATGAGCACACGTGACGTGTGATAACCCAACAGCTGCACAGACCCGTCAGCGGCATGTGCCCAAACCTTGAAGGAAGCACCGGCTCTGGGACAGCCAATTCCTGCCATAGCCGAGCCATCGACAAAGATGTGAACTTGCTCCAAAAGCTCGCGCGGAAGCATATCCGAACTAACAGAACTTCTCAAGCCTGAAAGGACAGCAGCAGGAAGAAGGATCCAGCTGGCATCGCCAGAAAGACTCCACATGGCACTGGACATGTTGCGCAGCAGATTCCTCAACACAGCACACGGCTCGAGAATTGCCGACCCTGAAGCATCATGAACGTGCGGGAACAGGGCAAGATTCTGGCGACATGGAACCCCAAGCTCTTCCTTGCGCCTGCATACCAGGAGCATACCGTCACAGTGACACAAGCTCCCAGTGTTGCAGACCACGGCACGGAAGACGTCAAAAGGAGTGGCGTTGGCTGGGAGGCTCTCAACCACAGGCTGTCGATTATCAGAAAACATAACGACAACACACACACACACACCTTGTTGGCAGGGCAACCTGTAACATCGACACAGCGCACGACGCCATCATGCCCGATGCTTGGATGCACCGGCACTTAAGAGCGCCAGTGTTGACGCATCTACCTTCGAAATCAACGACTCTTGATTGCGCACCCTGCTGCGAACGACACCCGTACGGGGACACCTAGAGAGCCCAGAGGATCGAAAACGAATCATTCGTGCACGAATGATCACCTCACGAAGCATCCATCGTGATATATCGCACGAGCACGACCCCAGTTTCATAAATACGGTCACAATGTTTCAATATGTTATGTTTTTCACGATTCCGCGCCTGGCGCGCAATCGTGGGCGCGCCCACGACTGCGCGCCAGGCGCGCAGTCGTAAATTCAATTTGATTAGAATGTATCTGAACATCAAGCAAGGGTATTTTCCAGAGAAATGAAAAATCATTTCTTGAATTCTAGAAAAGATTTACAAATCAATTAGCATCAGCTGCGAAAACCTCATGCGAAAATTGTTTATTGAATTAGGTAATATATAATAAATATAATTATACATCCATGCGTGAAAAAAACATATATAGCAACAAATATTGAAAGTCACCACGACTACGCGCCAGGCGCGTGGTCGTGAAGGTGGCACGACTGCGCGCCTGGCGCGCGTTCGTGGCGCGTTGACGACTACGCGCCCGGCGCGTGGTCGTGAATGTGCCACGACTGCGCGCCTGGCGCGTAGTCGTGGTGACTTTCAATATAAAAAATACTACATATGTTTATATCACACATGTATTCATAATTGTAATCATTGGTTCAATTTGCAAATAATTGACAAGTGGTTGAAGATTTTGAAAAATAAACAATGATATTTAATTGTATTTAAAGAAATCGCGGAATTTACAACCATATTTTACTTAAATTGAATTTATGATTGCGCGCC